GTTTTAGGGCAATGCAGAAAAATGTCATAACTTTTCTTGAAGTCATTCTTGTGTTGATAAAGAGATGAATACTATAGAAAAGGAAGAAAATATTTATTTAATTAAGCATAAAATAACTTAAAAGTGACATATAATGATATAAATGACTTACCATTGTTCTAATTGAGAAGAACTATATGTAAAACGAGGACTTTAATTTCTTTTTATTATAAAGATTTAAAGGATACATCTAAAGGGAAATCCCCAGAAAAATCTTAAAATTTTAATTTAATTTATGAAAAAGTTCCAAACTAAATTTCATTTACAAAAAAACACAGAATACCGGTTAAAACTTCGAAAAAACCATTTTCGGCCGGTTTCGTGGATTTTAGCAGTATTCTGTCATATTTCGTTAGTTTGCTCAAAATTTTGAGACTTTTCCAAAAATTACATATAACCAAAATATTAAGACTTTTTTTTTGAAAATTACCATGAAATTAAAAGGTATTATTATTAACAAATCATTTATAAACATAAAAAATATTTTTATTATAAAAAAAGAAAATACATTTGTTGCTAATTTTTAGGAATAAATTGGTGGTTTAAGGATTTTATTGCTTCATGACCACTCAAACTCTACGTTCTTCCTATGCATTATTGTGAAATGATGGTGAGATGAACTTAGTTAGCATTCCTCTAACGTTGGTGTTCCTCTTATGTTGTTTAACCTAACTATCAACCAACATTCATATCTGACATGTTAGCAACCATCTTCTTTAATAAATGAAGGTTTTTTTGCTACTTGTCACACTCTCATTCATTTTGCCACATATCATTTTGTGGTTATTTTAAATTAATTTTTTCTTCCATATGTAATTTTATGGTTTTCCTATTTTATTAAATTCCATATGGTATTTAAATTTAATAATAAATGCATATCAATTTCATTAATTGACTTTCCTTATAATTTCAAAATTTTAAAATAAAATTTCATTAATTTTCTTTGATTATTTTATCTAAATGATTTGTTTAAATTTAAAAGAAAAAAAAACACTTTAATTTTAGTAATTCAATATTTTTCTCATTTTTCTTAAAAATCCAAAATTTTCAAATGTTTATACATATATAATTGTTTTAAATACACCCATGTAATACATGGGGCTCACACCCAGTTGACTAACATACATTTATAAAATGTGAAAAGTGAACCGTGAATGATAATGTATATGGAAACAAGTGAAGGGTTTTTATCTATTTAAATTGTCATTCAAAGTTTACTTTTAAGTCTCGATAGATGTGTGTAATTTTATGGTTGTTACCGGGTAATGTTTGGAGGTTAGGTCGTAGTTAGGTTAAAGAATATAATGAAAGATCTATATGTTCGTGTAATGGTATTTTCTGATAACACGTGATCATATAGCATCATGCCTAATAGCAAGTAGACACTTATTGATTGTGTATTAATAAATATTATCAACTCTTGTAGTGGTCACGCCTAATAGAGTAATTCTCATTATGACACCCACAACGATACATAAGAAGAACATAGAGACTTTGAAGTGGTCAACAAACAATCGAGAAGTACAATTTCAACCATTTTATTCCTAGAAATTACCAACAAATGTATTTCCTTTGTTTATAATTAAAAAAAAATTATGCTTATAAATGATTTGTTAATAATAATATCCACTAATTTCATTGTAATTTACAAAAAAATCCTAATATTTTGGTTATCGGATAATTTTCAGAAACGTCCTAATATTTTAAGCAAACTAATGAAAAAGGATAGAATACCTGCTAAATCAATGAAACCGGACAAAAAGGGTTTTTCGAAATTTTAACCGGTATTCTGTGCTTTTCAATAAGAAAAAAAATAGTTCGAGACTTTTTTCATAAATTAAACTAAAATTTTAGGATTTTTCTGAAGATTTCTCTAACTCTAAATATCAATAACACTGCTATATAGCTATACAAGAGGATAGAAGCTTTCAAATACTTGCCTAGAAACGCATGCACCACTTTGATGTCATGAAGATAGGTTCACTGTTAAACAAAAAAAATTACACTGATTAATAAATTCATATTAACATATAATAATTCACCAAATAAAAAGATATCTTTATAATATCATATTTTTTCTCTAAATATATTACATTTGAAACATACTTCTTATCAAACTCTTCCTTTGACTTTTACTTAAAATTCAACAGGGTGAATTGCTTTCAAAAGACAAGTCATCAACTTATTCTAATTCTTTTGTCAACTTTTGAAACCTATGTTTGAGATCTATAATAATATTCTCGATAAAAAAGAACAAGCTATTTGCACAAGAACAAATATATGTTAATAAATGAATAT